TTAATAATCCTAATAACCATCATTTACTGTGAGGGGAGGGGTTGGTGATCTTAATAATCCTAATAACCATCATTTACTGTGAGGGGAGGGGTTGGGTGTTCTTAAATAATCCTAATAACCATTATTTACTGTGCGGGGAGGGGTGTACATGCATAATAATTATCAGTGGTAGTTTAATGATAAAAGTTACATAAAGCGAAGATTAAGTGCACATGTTACATATATTTATTTAATATTATTTATATATAATAGAGATCTAATGGTAACCAAATTATACCAAATATCACTATACCAAATCAATAAAAGTTGGTTTTCTGATAGAGTACAAACACTAAAAGTGTGCAACACTTTGCACTATTTAGTACTTAATAATGCTAATTAAATGATAGAAAACAATAGGATTAGCATAATTTAGCAGTATTTAGTGGTATTTATGTTGCACACTTATAGTGTTTGTACTCTAGTATCAGCTTTTCAATTCATTGTACAGTATATCAATAGACCAATGATAAGCAAGGTTCAACTCAAGGTTATTGTATTGTAAGCAGTATACTTTTTACTATTCTTCGTTTGCACGTTACGTCATCGTGACCATGTTGGTACCATTTAACAAAAGATTTCTCATTAGCATCCATTGTTAACGGTACCACAATGGCCGCCATGTTTTTGTCTTTTAACTCTCTTGGGAATGCTTGCAACCCATCAATTGTCCTTTGTAAGCCAAATGTTAAGCTAATTAGTCAAATCCAACGAGTGGTCTATCATCAATGCTGCGTTCTGATTGGATGAGCTACTACGAGGCTATGAGTTATAACCTAGTAGTAGCAAAAAGTGCAGGCTTTGAAAACCAAAACATTAAATTTAACTTTAATTTAAAACTTGTTTGCATCTATATATTTGAGCAATTGGTCCTCTCGCCCTCATGGCCTTTGAGTCAATAGCCCAGGGCCAGAACAAATTGCTAAATAGGTTTGTTATTAAGTACTTTTTTTTCTCTTCTCTTTATTCCTATTTTAAAATTTTAACGACTTACAATTCCTTTAAAATTTTCATTGTTGCCACTATTTTTCAAAAATTTCTTTCCATGAATCTTTTTTTCATTTTCTTTTCTTTCATTCTTTTGTTTTCATTTCCTCTTTTCTTTTGTTTGTTTGTGTGTTTTGTTTGCGTGCTTATTTCTTTATTTGAATACAGATCTCAAGAATCCCTGAGGAGTCGACCTTTCCTGTCACATCGGATAGTGAAGATGACATTCTTGACAGAACACAGGAGCGTCATGTTGATTCCTCGCCTGAATCCCCTACGTCAGAGACACAAAGACTCATAGGAAAATAAAGGGTGATTAACATGTAGGGGAAAAGAGGACTAATAAGGGGTAGTGGGTAGGGGAATTGACAATATTATCCATCATGCAAAGAAATCTTTTTGAAGATTTTCCAAATTTGCACAATTTAGTAAGTTCAGTAGGCTTCAGTAAACCATAGATCTACAAATTTTTTCAAAAATTTGTACAATTTCGTTAGATGACTTTTTTATGGATGTAGAGTATGCTAGTGGCGGATCCAGGGGGGTTGAAGGGGTCCATGGAACCCCCTTGAAGGTTTGATATTTTCGGTAATAGAAATATGTCATATAAATTTTAATTWAAAAAATATTAGTAGTTTTGTGTTGGGTCGTGTTATTATAGCTTGGTCCGTTACTAGATAGTAAATTAGGTGATTAGAGCCAATTTTTTTGTCAAACATTGACTAAACAAAAGTGAATTATGCACAGTTTAAGAAACGGAACCCCCCTTTGAAAAATCCTGGATCCGCCACTGTATGCCCTCTATGGAAAATACATTCGAAAACTTTGAAGTTAGTTAAGGAATACTTTGACGTTTCCTTGAGTTCTATTCGAATTATGACTTTAAAAAAATAATATATAATATTTTCTTCAAGGGTTATAGAAACCGTCGAACTCTCCTGTCCAAACGCTTTTCAAAATATAATGTAGGTTGTGTTAATTTTTTGAATTGTCTTGAATTTCGGTTAACTCATGGCCATTCAAGAGAGCTCCAAATGGTCACATTGAACCAAAATTCAAGATGTGATCGAATGTTGTTTTGGCGGTACTAACATTTCCAAGATAAATCCAACTATGCCTTATTCTTTGTGTTTAACATCAAATTTATTAGTTTCAATTTCATTAAAAAAAATCAAAATAAGAAATTTGACATCAAATGCAGAAAACAAGGCATGGATTTTTCGTATACACCTATTTCAGAAACCGTTGTCGGACCAAAAGCCTCAAGCAACAAGCCAAGACCGCAGAGAACGCCGGTACTTTTAGCTGTAATTAGTTTATTTATGGTGCATTTTCATTTATTGACTTCACAAATTGCTCCAAGCAAGGCTGCTTGAGATGATAATTAGTGTAGAGCTATATAGCCACTTGCATGAACCATGAATGAATCAATTATAATTAAAAGTACCGACATTCTTTGGAGCCTTGGCTTGTTACTTGAGGCTCTTGGTGCAACAACGATCTTCGAAATAGGTGTGTATATATATCATTGGGTTACAATGCATACTGCGGTGTGTTAACCATTGACAGGTATTGCATTGATAGTTAGATATTGGGGGTGTGTTATCTACAGGTATTTGAATCAAGATAATATTAACATATTTGTAAATAGGTAGTTACATATATATATCAAATAATAATAAATCTGGATTTTTTAGATCATGCTTAACTTAGATGTCACTCCTAAACAGTGACTCTTCAACAATAGACCCAATTGCTCAGGCTAAGCCTCGATTTTGTGAAGAATATTCACGTGTTCCAGTCAAGGTCCGTCAAGTTTCAAAGTGTACATATTGTTGAAGTTGAGCATTCTTTACTTTACTGTTGGTATTTGCGAGAGACACTGATTCAAGGCTAATAAGCCTGAGTAAATGAGTCTGTAATCAAGAAACACAGTGGTAATTTGGAACTTGAAAAGGGTCTATTTAGAAAATATTAGATTTAAAAAATCAAGGTCTTGGTGTTTTGGAAAAACAGTTTTCCTTGAGTGACAACAAAACAGTGGGTCCTAGTCGAGGTTCGACCTGATGTGTTCATATTGTACATTTACCAGGGTTCATGCTACTTGTTAAACTCCTTGAAAACTCCTTGAATTTAATTTACTTTTTCAAGGGCACTTGAAAAGCTCTTGAATTTTTACGATTTTAACGAAACTCCTTGAAAACTCCTCAAATCTTTGCTTTAAGTGTTACTTGCATGGTTCTGAAATAGATCTAGTCAGAAAGATTGGAAAATCTGAAAGTCGGCCGTGTGCAACCAGTGTAAAACCTTGGCATAGTTAGCTGAACATACTCCTTGAAAATTCATTTTTGGGTCCTTGTACACTCCTTGAATAGTCCTTGAATTTTAAGTGGTTACCTCAGCACGAACCCTGTTTACTCTATTCACATCAATTTACATACGTCCAACCTTGGCCCACTGTTTTATGGTCGTAAAAGCGATTAATTTGTGGAAGGTCTATTTAGGAGAGATGTAAATGTTCATTTAATGTAAAGGTAGTGCTTAGACGTGACCTATTACTAACCAACTGTCAAAAATTCATAACCTTGTTGTAAAGCACCTTTGATTGTATCCATGATAACGGGGAAAAAATCCATATTCTCTACTTTCACATCCCCATAATGCCTTGCATTTTTGGGGGGTAACCAATCAAAAAACTGTCCCAAATTGAAAGGTTTCTTAATTGAATTTATACTATACCTGCTTTTACCTGTATAATACTGATATCAGTTTATTCCAAGTTATTTTTGCATGTACAGATCATCAAGAGTTTTGGTCTTACAGAAAATGTATTGACTTACGAAAAAGTTTAAAATCTACCTTAAACGTCTTCAAGCTTCTATATTTTTCAGTTTTTTACTTCATTTTATTTTTGGATACCAAACAAGGTATTGTCAACATTGTCTGATCAGGCTTCGGCAAAATAAGTGGGTTTTCCGTCTCTGGTTACCCCCCAAAGACGCAAAGGATTATGGGATGTGAAAGTTGAGAATGGAAAGGTTTGCAATATAAATCATTAGTTTAAAATTATTTGTAAACCATTAATGAATGGTAAGGGATTAGAAGTAAATCATTAATTTTGATGGGATGTGTGGGGTGGGGGTGGGGAGAGAAAATTTTTAATGTCTCATGGGCCTTACTGACGCGGCAGCCATATTTATTCTCATGAGAATAAAAGCCTTTGTTTAACTTTAATTTATTTTCAAGGCTATGAGAGGGATAATCTAATGTTCGAGTCAACATTGCTGTTGCATGAGTAAGGTCCATGACTCGTATACTGGATACATATAGCATAGATATGCCGAGGTGCAGGCATCTAGCCTTRGAATATCATAATAAATATGCCGCCATGATAGTAATACACATTTATAAAATAACAAATAAAGTATAATAATAATTAAAGGTGCTTGGAACACAAAAAGGAATCTGTGTTTACAAAAATAGACCTCCTTGGCTCAGGCGTAATGTTTTCCCATTTCAGACCACATGTCGTTCCTTTGAGAATAAGATTCTTTGTTTGAGTCGTATCCATATTCATGTGTCTCCTCGTGCAATCAATCACAACCATTAAACAAAGATATCATACTCTAGGGAATGATGTGTGGTCTGAAATGGGAAAGTAAGTGTATTACACCTGAACCTAGGAGGTCTCTTGAGAAGGAGTGCAAGAAATATTAAATGTAATAAATCTTAAAAGGAAAAGTCTTGAGTCTGGATATAACTGTCAAACTTGTTTGTATTCTGTTGCTATATTTTACAAAAAAGTTTAAACAATATTGGCTGTGGCCACACTGGGGTGTTTAACTATAATAGTTCAGCCAATTCTAACAATTGTTAACTTCAAAACCAATGTGACCTCTCTTCTGTTTAATTAACTATTGTTAGTTGCTATGCTGGTCAATAAGGTAAAACAATGGAACTTAAACCATATATGAAATAGTATAACTATAGTTTGTATTACGTCATTTAACTAAGCTAAACTATAGTTAATGCCCCAGTGTGGACACAGCCATTATCTACAATCCATAATGTTTTAAGTGAATTTTAGAAACTAAAGATTCCTAATCAATACGAAAAGCTCTTTTATTTAGAAGCTAGAGTAGGCATTTTATTTGATAATTTTGACTAGGATTCTTGTATAGGAATACAACAATTAATCAAATTGTCACTAGTTGAAAGCAACTTAGATAAATCAGTCTCTAATAGGATTCCTGTGGTTTTAAAACTATGAGAGGAGAGTGGTACCTAGAATTTCAGGGCAGCCATGTAATAGGCCCTTTGCATCAAACAGTCACATGCTGATACATGACTTTGCTAATGAATCAGTTCAGCTCAAGGTCCCTTGGAGAAGGCTTTGCTGGATGACAAACAAACTTTAAATTGCTTCGTATCTTTAAATGGAAAGTATCTTATAAGGGAAAAAAAGTATTTTTGAAAAGGTTTTGGATACGACGTTAGTAATCCAGCAAAAAATTAAAGAAAGGAAGTCCAATTTTTTTGCATGCCATCCAGTGACAATCATGTGTCAATATATCGTAAATATTTGTTGAATAAAGGAGAAAAAATTTGGCTGTACCACACCCTTTTGTCCCGAGTAAACTGGAAGAATTTTCTTTCCCAAAGCATTGCTGGTTTTCAATCATTCCCAAGGGAGTGAAATAACAAAAGACATGGTGGCCATGTTGGGAGATATAACAAAAGAATTCATCGGAATTCATTTTTTTTCTTTGCTAAATTCAACAAAGATGGCAGTCGTGATGTGTAAACGAAGAATGGTATTGTCGAACTCGTCTAGGCAAATCTTGCCAGTCATTTTGAACAGTACCTTTAAGCCAGAAATGAGGAATGGCTGTTGTCTTTACCCCTGTTATAACATGGCTGTCATGATACTCCTTTATAAGAGGGGCAAAGAAACATACAGAAGGGAAGGCTTAAGTTGGGAATTGCCTGTGGTAAAGACTTAGCTCAACACAGGGTGATCAATACGAGAGAATGAAAAATAAAGCAAGCAGTATATGGTATAAACATGTTTTAGCCATGCTATTGTCTATTCTTGTTGTATAAAGGGGTTCGCTATTGCCTCCATGCCATCTACTGGACATACTAGTACGACGGCAGTTCCTCTACAGACTACTAGACCAAGACTTCTGGTTTCATCGGTTAGTTTCAGTGGGTCATCAGGATCTACAATAATTAGTATCGATATTGAGGGATTGGTAAAATTTTACCTTCCTTTGTCCATCTAATTAAAAAAATTCCAACCCAAATAAGCCTTTTCATAGTTTAAGAATCGATTCCACTGTGCATGCAATTTTATCCTGAATTTCTCACCTTCTTTTGTGTAATTAAGAACAAAAGAAGGTTAAGACAAAAGAAGGTGCGAAAATTCTGGATAAAATCGCATGCACAGAGGAATCGAATTTTTAAACTATGAAAAGGCTTATTCCAACAGTGCGAATGGAAAAACCGTGGGCACCCAGAAATATTTCAAAAATGTTCAATAGCCAATCAGAAGAGTTAATGTTATCTTTCTGTTATCTTGTGGTTAGAAAGTCAATTCTGATYGGCCAAAGAAAAATAGAACATTCCTAGAATATTTCTAGGTGCCCAAGGTTTTTGATTCTCATCGTAACTAGAGTTTTGATCAGAAAACTGCAAGTCATTCTATATAGACCTTTTTAGCTTCGTTGTTTGTTGTGCCACTCTTGGGAGTCGATTCTTTCATGTGTAAATATTTTAACATGTTCGTCATAAAAATAATTCTTAAAGGTCAAATTGTCATGTTGACAAGGTTCATTGTTTTCAAGACTCTAGTTGAGTTGAAAGCTCCATAAATTGCTTTCAAATCCAGCGTACTGTCTAAGAATTTTATCGTCATTTCTTTAAAATTTGCCAATACAGATAAATTTACATATGATACTACTACGGATTTCATCGAAGTGTGGCACGCATTAAAAAATTCGTCTGCGAATTTGCCTATGAGACGCTGTGACTCCGCCCACTTAGAGGTGTGATTTTGTCTGCATTCCTTTCTAGCGAAATGCACAATGAACATAAGCGAACTTGGTCATGTTTACAGTAGGGGAAAGAGCATAAGTAGTGATTTGAGATCTCTCGTTATATATGAGATTGCTGAAAGTGGTGGGGATATCATAACAGGATTTTCTCCTGGAAAATTTGTAGAAATTGCTCGAAAACGTCCCCCACCTCCATACTCAACTTTGAACTTGTACCTTCTACTCGCCGCCATAATTTTGAATTGAACGTTGCACGGGAATAGACGAGAAAGGAATGCAAACAAAATCACACCTCCAAGTGGGAGGAGTCACAAGCGTCTCGTAGGCAAATTCGCAGACGAATTTTTTAATGCGTGCCACACTTCGATGAAATCCGTAGTAAGAAAGTCTCTGAGTACCTCTGATATATTCTGTGGTATTATCCAACACTAGGTTGAGGAGTGCATCATATCCTTTAAGAATCCCACTAGCTGAGGAAAAAAAACACAGATTTCATTTTTCCAGTGGAGAAAAGTTTTATTTGTTATGAAGTGTGATTGTTTGGGTGAGTGTAGTCTTGAGGAAGACTGTTGTTGCTTGGTTACTGACGTTTTGACAACCTGAGCGGAAGTCATATTGAAAAAAGGAAAACAGCTCCTAAAAGAAATGAAATCAGAAAGCCGTTTTGCAATATTTAACAGAAGGGAGCAGTCATGTGGTACAAGAAATAGTCTTAAATATGGTAGTTAAAGTACAAAGATTTGCACACAAGATATAAAAAAACAAAAAAAGGAATAAAACTATAGTAATAATATAAGAAAATTTTATAGAATAAAGGAATAGTTAATTAGTATTTGTCATTAATCTCCTTGGTGCACCATCTTTGAATATTCCCGTGTACTTGGCAAATATGTTTGGAAAATTTTCAAGGACAAGTCAAGGACTTTTCTTAAGCTATTTTTTTCGTTTAGAAACTTTTTTATTTGACATYGTTTTAAATTTATTCTCGAGTAAATTTTGACAGTTTACAAAATTTTCAACTCACCTTCTCGGCCTCCTTGGAACTTCACTCGTACGCCTTTATCAAGGAACTTTGATATATCAAATATACTTTTCTTCTCCTTTCTATCAGCCTTAAAATATTAAAGATTTGATAAGAATATTTACTCAAAATATAATTTCTTTTAGACAAAGTCCATCTTTACATGTGCAACTTACCGCCGCCATTTTGAATTACTGGCATCGTGCGGCATTGTGGGATATAGGTGTAGGATGGGTTCCCTGTGGTGAATAGGATACATATTTTTGTATTCTGGGAGGGGGGAGAAGGGACGAGGGATTCTTAATATATAACCTTAAACTATTTTCGTCACAGAAAATTAACTAGACACTGCTTATTTATGGTTTTGGAGGATAAAATAAAAATATCGACTTTGCTCTAGCTTGTCTCAGCTGTAGGTGCTAGTGAGCAGGGCGTAGGACCCAGGAATTTGGAGGGAGTGAGGCACCCCGACCAAAAAAGTAAAAAGAAAAAAGAAAAAAAGAAAAAGAAAAGACACGAACGATTTTGTGAAGAATATTAATTCACGTGTTCCAGTCAAGGTCCGTCAAGTTTCAAAGTGTTCGTATTGTTGAAGTTGTACATTCTTTACTTGAGTCTATAATCAAGAAACACAGCGGTAATTTGGAACTCGAAACTGGACTATTAACGAGCTGATTTTTGTGGAGGGAGGTAAATCGGAGGAAAACCCTCGAGAAAAGGAGAGAGATGACTAGAATATCTATTTACACACGACACCGAGCACAGCGAGAATCGATCCCGGGTATTGATAACCCCTACCCCGTGCTCCTCAGAGATCATGGAGTGCAGACGTGGGAACTAGTGGGAAACTTATAGACTGCACAGCTGTCAGGGTGTATTTTTGAAGTGACTTTACGTTTTTCAATGAGAAGCACATCTACGAAGCAAAAGCCCACTTCCGAGATATGCTTCGCTTGTCATGCACAAAGTTTTCAATGCGAGGCTTCGTGCATAATGCTCAGTGATTCGTGACAGGAGAAAAGAATAGATTTAATTTCGCACGTAGCCTCGTACTGAAACCTTTGTGCGTGACAAGCGAAAAATATCTCTGTAGTGGGCTATTGAATTTGCTGGTGGTTGAAACAATCAGTGTGTGAAACTAACTACTGCCTCAAATCATTTTATTCTCTACTTTCACGTCCCCATAATACTTTGCATCTTTGGGGGGTAACCAGAGGGTAAAAACCCCGGGGGGGTACTCCGCCAGGATTTGGGTAGGGGTGTTCCGCTGGGATTCTGAAAGGGGTACCCTGTTTATGACAAAAAAACTCAAATTTGTAGACCCTGTTTATGACAAAATATATAATTAATTGCATTGAGTTCCTGTTTCAATTATCATGCCAGCTCTCGTATCGTTTTTTTACGACCATAATAACCAGTTTCGGTCAATACGAAAGTAGAAACCATGTGAATATGACAGGAAACTCAGGAAGAACTTGGAACTTGAGTGAAATTGCATACCCTGTTTATGACAAGAAGCTTGAAAAACCATACCCTGTTCAGCGGATCATCCCTGTATCCCTGTCCATATATGGCAGTAACCCCCCCGGGGTAAAAACCCACTTATTTTAATTTGCTGAAGCCTGATCAGACAATGTTGACAATACCTTGTTTGGTATCCAAAAATAAAATGAAGTAAAAAACTGAAAAAGACAGAAGCTTGAAGACGTTCAAGGTAAATTTTAAACATTTTTTCGTAAGTCAATACATTTTCTGTAAGACCAAAACTCTTGATGATCTGTACATGCAAAAATAACTTGAAATAAACTGATAATCAGTATTGTACAGATAAAAGCAGGTATAGTATAAATTCAATTAAGAAACCTTTCATTGGGACAGTTTTTTGATTGGTTACCCCCCAAAGACGCAAGGCATTATGGGGACTTGATAGAGGTTCTTCTTGTTTTGGGCTGCCTGTGTGGTGGTTTGAAAGCTTTGATTGGCAGGCTTTTAACGAGTTTTTTAATTTTTACGTGTTACGAGCGATATTTACACTGAGAGCCATTTCAATATAATGGATCTTAATTGAAAACCTTACTTTCATAAAACATTGAACATTCGACAACCTGGCGAACGAATATATATATATATATATTTATATGAAACGGACCGGAAATTATGATATTTAGCCCCAAGATAAAACGCCAAAAAACTTTTCGCAAAGTAATATTTATTTGCTCAGAGGAATCACTCTGATTATCTCCCATTTTATCTGTACTGCTATCCTTCGTGTCGACATGCTAATGAAAAGTAGTAGTAATACGGACGGAAGATAGTCAAGCTGATATCATTCAAAACCGTATTATAATCTCCAAATTACTCGACAATGCCCGACATTGGAGCTTAAACGTGAATAAGTATTTGCTCTTTTTTAAGGTTCGCAAGTTTGTTTTGTTTTTTTTTTTTTTGGATAAGAAGCTTTTTAATTTGCATAATCATTGAGGTTTCTTTATTGGGTCACGCGCACGCTAGACAATGAGACAATAGAAATCAATTTAGGAGATCATCTTACTAGCTGGAAGTAAATAAACACATTCTACACAAGCCGCCTTGAAATCTTTACACTCCACTTTTAGGTATAAACACGCCTTCTTGAAGTTACAACAACGACTTTATTCCGTAAGTACGACATAAAACATTTTAAAATTGAGGTTATTGTAAGTTATGCATTATCATTGTTATCTTTTTGGGGGGGATAGGGATTGGATTGCACTTTGTTTGATAGCGTTTCGCAACTTCTGGCTTATTCATGTTCATATTACATGTAAATGAACTCGCAGCTGCGAAAGAAAAAAAAAGCTTCTCCTTCCTCGCTTTTAGAACACAGAAACCAGTGCATAACGTGTTAATATCTACACAGGTAATACAAAAGACTAAAGATGCTAAGACTCTGTTGTTTCCTGTGGATTTGTTCATTCTTCGCTTGGGTCATTACAGGTAATTTTCATAATTGACATATTAATATAAAAGACATTAATTTTAACTTTTAAAGTGCTCTTTATTATTTTGGTCCAATCACCGGAATTTTGTCTATTAAACCTACTCTTCGTGATTCGTTTTATTCTCTTGGTACAGAGGGATCTTACGGCTATAAAAATGAATGAGGTCAAATCCTAGAATAACAACGTAAAACCAGAATAAATGAATGCTTTCTTTTCTAAAAAAAATTTTGTTTACGATTCCAATTCCGACGCAAGTGTGAACCAGGCTATAAAGAAAACGAAAAAAACCCTAAACATTTCTTGTTTACAGCTTTTCTCAATCACACGCGTGAAATCGTACAATTTTTTAGGTTTTGGTGGACGTCAATCAATGCGTTTCCATGATATTCCATAGGCACGTGCCCTTAAAAGACGGTGTTTTCCGACAAGGCCATGGGAAATACTTCGATTAACTCTCTATGATTATGTCTCGTAAAACGTTTTTCTCGATTTCGCGCGTGTGATTAAGATGCGCTGTAAAAATAGCCAACTTAACATACCAAAAAAACTTCGCTTGTCACGCACAAGGGTTTCTGTCCGAGGCTACTAGCTATGTTTCCTCTTTTATACGAATCACTGAAACAAACATTTGCAGGTAGCCTCGTACTGTACAACCTTTGAGCGTGAGAAGTGAAGCTTTTATCTTGGAAGTGGCGAGCCTATTTGATCTATTAACCATGATTTTATAAAGGAATGAATTAAGAACACTCAAGCTAAGCCCGTGTAGTGCTCGATGGCAAGAGCATTAGGTAGTTTGCCGTGACGTGACGTGTATATTCGGGCAAGAGAGTCAATATTTATACAGCCTTTCGGCGTCGTACAGAAATTATTTCACCTTTATGATATCTATGGTGACAATCTATCGTTTATTTATTTATCTATGCCATATTCTGGCTTTTATATTGCGGTATATCCCAGCAATATTGAGTCTTCACGCCGAGTGCCGGCTCGAGATATGAAGGTTACATAGATATGGGACTGATGTGGACAAAAAAGTATTGTAGGGGGAGGGACTGTGGACAAAAATGTATTGTAAGGGGGAGGGACTGTAGACAAAATATATTGTAAGGGGGAGGGACTGTAGACAAAATATATTGTAAGGGGGAGGGACTGTGGACAAAAAGTATTGTAAGAGGGAGGGACTGTGGACAAAAAGGTATTGTAAGGGGGAGGGACTGTAG